TGAAGTACTGATATTGTCATGTGAATGAACCTTGAAGACACACTATGTTAAGTAACAAAAAATCCAAACACAGAAGGATTCCACTTGTACAAAATATACAGAATAGGTAAATCCACACAGACAAGAAGCAGATTGGTGCATGCCAAAGTCTGGGGGGGAGGGGAGAATGAAAGTAACTGCTTAATGGATATCAAGTTTCCTTTTGTTGTGATGAAAATGTTTTAGAGCTAGACACAAGTGATGGTTGCACAACTTTTTGGCTGTGCTAAATGCCAATGAATTGTCACTTCAAAATAGTTAATTTCATTTTACAAGAATTTAACCTCTATTTTTTAAAAAATGACCTGTCTCTTATGGCATAATGAACTATCCAAAACATGAACCCAATTAACATGTATTACATTACACAGTTTTTGAGAGTCAGGAATCCAGGAGGGCTTAGCTGAGTGGTTCTAGCGAGAGTAGCTCATTGGGTTTTAGTCAAGATGTTGCCCATGGCGGCAGTCCTCTGAAGGCCTGACTGGGGCTAGCGGATCTGCTTCCAAGATGGCTCCTCATATTGCTCTTGGCAGAAGGCCTCAGTTTCTTGTTACATAGATCTCTCCATGAGCCTACTCGAGCATCTTAAAACATGGCAGATGGTTCCTTCAAAGTGAGTGATCCATGAGTGTACAAGGCAGAAGTCACAATGTCTTTTATGAATTAACCTAGAAAGTTTCATACCATCATTTCTACAATATCCCATTTATTGCACATGTCAACCCTATTCAGAGTGACTGGGATCTATACAAGGATATGAATTCCTGGAAGCAAGTATCCTTAGACATCAACTGGAAAGCTAGTGACCACACCCCATTCTCCCTTACATGAGATAATCATGAATTGATGCATCATCCACTCAGCCTAAATTTGATCACCAAAAGTGGAATTCAGGAGGCAGCCTTGGGAAAATGTGATAGAAAGCATGGGAAACATTGCATGTGAATAACATCTGTTGGGGGAATGAGTAGATCATGACTGAGTATATGCAGAACTTGCTTCATGCACATGTGTTATAATGAGAACCTGTATATTGCAACAATTTCCTGGAAACCCCAAGTTTATCTGAGGCAAGACTCTCCTAAGTAATGGGAGTATTTCTTTCTGATAACAAGACATCTAACTCATAATAACATAATGTGAATGTTGTAAGGGAACTAGGGAAGGGGACTTGCCCCCTCTTCTCGTCTCCCAGTTTTCTTTTACGGGTTATTACATACGAGCACACAGCTTCCTCAACAGCTCCTAGGCCTGTCCTACTGCCCAAGCCCAGGGCTACTTCCCTCTCTTCTCTGAAATGGCAACTTTACCAAGGTTACAACCCTCAGGGCCCAGAAGGTACTCCAATAAGACAATAGGCATGGTTGTGCCCTCTCATGAGTCAGTTTCCAAGATCCTGCCCAATCAGATTGCTGATCAGCACATTCCTGAAAGTTAGCCAGATCGCTGAAATGTTACCAAAACCTTGATTTGTGTATAACACTATTTGGATGCCTGAGTGGAAGCAAGAGAGCCAAAGGCTAGCCACTTTTCATTCGGAGAGAAAAAAAAAATGATCAGGCTGTTTGAAGTTTTTAATTGAATTAAAAAAATAGAAATAAGATAATTCAGCTTTGTAAAAGACCATGTCAGCTGCCTAACAAGATAGGATGGACTGGGAACCCTGGCTACCAATTTACCTAGAATGAACTTCAGGAAGTGGGGTAAATCAAGCCATTTGAGGTTGGGTGCACATAGAGAAAAAAATAAATAGCTCAGGATAGATACGAGATGCAGCAAGATAACATGTGCTAAAATACTGTGCCTACTCAGAGGTTCCCGCTTTAGAGAAAATATTAAGGATGAAATAAAAGGCACAGAAACATCCAGGGAAATGAAGCCAGAAGGAGAAGAGATATCAGGCGCACAGAGCCCACTGAGCTCTACAAAGGTGGAAAGGCTAGGGAAATAGCAGTACCATTACAGGGATAAATATAGAAGTCTGCCTTTCAGAATGAAACTAGAAAGTGTGAAATAAGGATGAGGCAGTTTCTGGTTTACAACAGGCAGTAAGTACATTAAGCAGAATATCAAAGCATGTTTAGCAAATACCAAGGAGAACCAGAGATCCGGCAAAGAGTCTTGTTCTTGCCAAAGGTTCCAGGATGCAAGATAAATGGCAAACAACTTTGCAGACACCTGAATTTTGTTTTCATTTTTCTTCACCTCCTACCCTCAGATCCAAGAACAAAAATATTAGTGATGTCTCTCTGCCAACCTTGCAATTGCCCCATAACTGGAGTTTATAAAGAGGGCCATTTTTCTTTGTACATGCCGTGCTGTTCAGATTTTAATTGTCTTCCTCATTCATATTGTCATCACATACTTGATTCCATTATTTGCCATTAAATTCAATAAATATTTACTGTGCACTGACTATGTACCGGACACTGCTAAGTACTTCAGGAGATTCAGAGATGAATAGTATACCATCAGTACAATCTGTTCATTTATTCACTTAACATAGATATTTTTAAAAACCTACTCTGTGTCAGGTACTGTTTTAAATATTAGACACTAGAACTACAGCAGAGAACAAAACAAAGTCTCTAACCTCACAAAGTTGATATTCAAGTGACATAAATGTACAATTTAACATCCTGATCAGACAACTGTACAAATAGATATAATACAGTAAAAAATATAAATAGCCAGAGTAAAGTACAGGCAGGGAACTGCGATGGTTTCAACGAATTTTTTTTTTTTTTTGTATTTTTAGTAGAAATGGTGTTTCACCATGTTGGCCAGGCTGGTCTCGAACTCCTGACTTCAGGTGATCCACTCTTAGCCTCCCAAAGTGCTGGGATTACAGGCATGAGCCACCACACGCAGCCTCCAACTTCTTTAATAATGTCTTTAATAATTCAATAACTATTGAGTTTGTGGTCTGTGCATGGTGTTTTGAAGTACTGAGAGCAAAAGAGATATGAGTATGATATTATCTGAGCCCAGGGTGACCTATAGCCCCCAAATACAACTACTTGATGTTCTTGTGGCCAATTTTTATTAAGCACTGTAAGGACTGAGCTGTCTGTCTTTCCTCCTTGGGTCATTCCAGTGCCCAGGCTTGCCCATGCAGAGCACATGTTCTCAGAAGAAATACCTGTTCGGCTCTGGCCTTCTGGAATTTTATCCAGGTGGCTGGGCCACCACCAGTCAGAACTTAAGGAAAAGAAAAAAATAATGTATGAAAAGGCCTGACCTAATGTGTGACTTATCATAGAAAGGCAATATTTTCCCATGTCTCAGGACTTCTAGGGCTGGTCAAAGTGTCCTTTATCAAAAAAATGTGCCCTGAAATGGGAGGCCAGAGGAGAGAAACAAACCATGAAGCAGGAGAAAAATATCTGGATAGCAGGCAAGTCCACCAGGGTGGATGCTTGAAGAGGTGAAATGAGGTCAGCTTGGTGAGTAGACAAAGGGCGGTGCAAGGCCAACCACATGATTTTTGGTTTGAATGAACGGCTGGACCAGATTGCGTTTCAATCATTCTAATTGTGTAGTTCAGGTTTTTGGTTTCATGAGGTTTGTTTCAATCGCCCACACTGTTAGTAAAAACTTTTAGGGAATTGAGAAGTAGAAACAATGGCTCATTGACTTTTATACAGAACTATTTTGTGAGATCCGTGTTCGCAATTCTCGCTTCAGTTGCTGCGGTCATGGGCATGCCGGCCCACAAAGACTTGCTCATATGCCGTGTTTACCTTGATTAAAGAAAAGCGATAACTGTGATTACATAAACTTGCCTTTTTTCCTCCCTGAATGCTGTCCAGATCATAGGAACCTACCCCAGAACCCCTTATCATGGCAACAGTTGAAAGGCATGATTTAGAAAATAAGTGGGACATAGAAAACTCTCCTATGCATGCTGTTGCGTGGGGTATGAGACATCATGAAACACCTTGAAAGCATATTTTCTAATTTCAAATGTAGTGATTATGTTCTCAGACCCGAAATAGCCAGGGAGAAGTTACTTTTCCCCATGGACTCTTCAAATTAAACTCAAATACAATTTAGAATTTTCAAATATTAATTTGAAAAAACATAGCCTCTCTGTTTTAGAACATCTGAACAAAGAGTCTCTCCCAAAGAAAGTCATAACTAAATTCTTAAAGGTCCAGAATCTTTGGGGTTAGGTAGATATTCATATCTTAGGGTCCTCTGTTCCCAGACTTGTCTTATTTACAAATTTCTAGTGAAGGGAAGTTTCAGATATAATTAATATATAATACCAACTCCAATAGTTTCATGAAATAGTGTTGCTAGCTGCAACTCATCTATTTCCTCTATTAACCTTATAGCATCGAGATAATTATTCATAGAGTAGCTGTTTTCTTTTCTTTTGTATGCGTATCTCGCCTTCACTTGCTTTCGTTGCATGTGAAATATTGTGTGGGATATTGTGGGGTGAGGGAGAAGGTGAATTCCTGAGCCTTCAGTAGACCAGATGATGAGCTGTGGGATGTGGAGAACGGTTCATTGTGCACTTTCTCACCTTGGCCTGTTTCTGCCCACCAATTCTCTCTCACTTACTCTCTGATGCTTAAAATTTCCTCAACAAGCGAGGTAGGCCACACTGAGAAGAAATGATTAACTGCAAATATTTCAATAATTAATCACATTTAGTTAGCACAGTCTATTTTGAAATAAAGTGCAAATAAGTGGTTCATGGTCTTTTATTCTCAGTCAAGGTGAAAAACCTAGAGGAAAGGAAATCAGGAGGATAGCAGTTTCCAGAGAGGGCAGAGAGGGAGTCTCGAATGCTTGGAAAGAGAGAGGAAGATGCAGAAAAAGCAGACTGAGAACCTGAGTTGTCATCACTTATTTTACAATTTGGCCTGAGGTGGTCCTTCCCCAGGTGAACATCAAGTGGTCAGTCAGGTTGCCTAGTATTTAGCCCAGTCATTAGCAATACCTGTAGAATGAAGCAAAAGGTATCCTTGACTGAACTATATAAAGCTTTATGTCCTGAGTAGCCAGCATATCAGCCATACTGAGTGACAGTCTCCGGATACACTGGGTCCCCCATGCCATGAAAAATGATGAGAGTTAGAGATCATTTAAAGAAGGTTCCAGTCCCAGCAGGGCTTAGGGCTCTGGACTCTGAGCTCACCTGAAGCTAAGGCAAAAGTGCCCTGATGTTTGTTTCCATTTCAGGTTGTATCTTCCATCCTTGTGGTCTTCATCCTAACCCCATCTCTGGCCATGATGGTAAGTGAGGATGGAGAGAGCCCAACCTGTCTAGTCCTCCTTTAGCAGAAGAACTTTAAAAAGTGTTAATTAAGGGCAATCACCTCCAATTTCCTGCAGGTACCCCTAAAACCTGCAAGGCATGGGCAAAGTAGGAACTCTGAACTTTCAACTTTTCTCACTGTTGCTTGGTTTTCTCCAGAACATCAGTGACAACCGTCCTCTGGATGGATCTGTTGGGACTCAAAGTATCCATGTCAGCTCCTTCCAAGGTATGGTCAGCATCCAAGACAACAATGTTTTCAGTGAATGGGACGGAATCCTGGAATACAAGAATGTAAGATGAGAAGCACGTGTATTACAATGTGAAAGACAGCCATGTCTGGTCCAAAACGTAGCCTTACGATTTTCCAGAGAAGAGAAGACATTTGACTTCTCTAGGTTTAGGTCCTGGATGAACATGTACATCATTAGGTAAGGGAACAGCTTTCTTGCAATTGCAGTGACTTCTTTTTGAGCCAGAAAATATAGGGGGAATTCCAGCTGGTCTACAGGGATCCTACATCCCCTATGTTCCTGTGAGGTATTGACGTCACACGGCCACCAAAGGCCTCCGATCTCAGAAGCCCCCATGTCTTGTAACTTGTATGTGCTGTAGAGGTTATTTTTTCTTGACTCCAAATTTTAATGTTAATTTCCAAGGAAAAAGAATGATATATTTTCATTTTTTAGAAATCTGACTACAACTTGCCCATCACTTTCAATAGTAAGAGCTAGCAGAAAGACAAAATATTGAGAAGCCTCCACCTGCGTGTGTGGCCTGGCTCTCTGAAGCGCTATAATCACAGGGACATCACTTAGCCTTTGTGTGTCTCAGTTTCCTCATCCACAAAATAGCATCCATAGCTGCCATTCCTACCTGGCAGGACCCTGAAGGGTTAAGTGAAGCAGAAGCCCACACTCCTTGTTCTGTCTGGCAAGGGGCCCTCTCCCATATGGCCCCGCCCCCACCCACATCCATGGCATTCCCTCCAGACACTCTGGACATCTCAGGACAGACATCTCAGGCACAGACTTTCTCTCTGCTCCTGCCTGTACCTGCTGTGCTCCTTCCCTGACCACATTGCTCACTATTCACCTAACCCACTCCTGATTTCCTCGAGGAAATGTCCCCTGAATCCTGTTAGAGGGCATGCAGTCTTCACTGGCTAGTAATTTTCAACTCTGCTCTATGCCATGGAGACTTTTCTTCAAGCAAAAATATTCCACAATAGTCTATGACATGGAACAGAAGAAACCGGAACTACTCTGGTTCGAGAAGGGAGATGCAGGCAAACCTTGGACGCAGTCAGACACAACTGGAGAACTGCTGCTGCTCTGCTCCAGGCTGTCAGGGGCTAGATGACAGGCCTAGGGACTCGTGGGCCTATAAAATTCCATTGTCATACCAAGGACTGCAGGTGCAGTCAGTGGCTCATTCAAGTCAAATCATAATTTAATCAAATAAATTATGGAAGGGGATGGTCAGTGGCAGATCCAGGGCTAGAATCTGAGTCCGGAAGGCCTGGCCCAAGGTTCCTGACAACCTATACATTCAGAGAGCACTCTAATTTTCACAGTGCTCTCATAAGCTCTCACAAGTAGTTAGTATCTCCTCTCATCCTCACATCAACTCCGTGGCAGAGGGGCTATTATTATTTCTGCTTTCAGATGAAAAATCAGAGGATCATGGAGCCCACTGAGGAGTGTGACAGCTGCAGAACAGGACCTGCAAGTCAGCCTTATTATTAGATCTAACTCCCTGTCCCTCCCCTCCACCTGTCCATTCATTGTATGCAGAATGCCCTGAGAGATTCCTTTCCTCACCCACATCAGGGGGCAGTGCTACAAAGGCCTGGAAGTAGCAGGGCTCTGCACGTGTTACCAGTCCTGATGCTGGCAATTTTTTTCTGGTGCCCATAGTGGCACTCTGCTGGGTGCTGTACATCACAGTCAGAAAAGCGGCACACTGATAGACAGTGGGTGTCCATTAATATTGCGACTGCATGAATGACATGTTTCTGCTGTGTTGTTTTAAGGCCCTCTTGGCTGCTAAGCTGTTTAGCAAGATGGACCAAGCAGTCTTCCCAAGCCTGGATGACATTAGCAAGGCCTTGGACAAACAGGTAAGCGAGACCAGCTCACTCTGGTACCCTTTTAGTTGGGTGTTTTCCAACTCTGCCTCCAATCTCCTACGACAAACTTGGGTCATGCTTGTTCTTAATGCCCATGAAATTCCACCATCATACCAAGGACTCCAGGTGTAGTCAATGGCTCATTCAAGGCAAATCATAATTTAATCAAATAAAAGTTCTATGCAGCAATCTCATTTTGATGAATTCCAGAAGGGTTTGAGCTACATGTTAGTGAATTTAAATTGTCGAATGTAAACGTTAGAGTGAATTGATAGAATATTCACATTCCCCTACTTTCTCTCCTCCTCTGCTTACCCCCTAAACATAAGCACACGTATTCTCTTCAGTTGAAAATAAGCCAGGACTGCTGAAGCGCTCTTCCCCTCAGCTTCCTAAATGACAAAGGTAGTCCAGTAAGTTAAAAAACAGCGGGTGGTCCTGGGCACATTATTGAAATCTGCTGTCATTTGCTTACACAGCCTGCACAGGACATTTGGCCGACACTGATATCCATGGCAGGAGGTGCTGACTCTCCGGGGGGAAAAAGATAGACTTCAGGTCATGTAAAAATAAGGCAATTTATCAATTTTTGTATGAGAGAAGCTGAAAGTATCCCATCCGATTTAACAAGCAAAAACATAATATCATGCAACAAAAAAATTCAAGCATTCTATATTCTCATTAGATGTGAGAAAGCATTGAAGACAAACTACGAAGTTTAAAAGGGTGGAAGGAATGGACAGGAAAAGTCACCTGAATGCACAGGCAGGTTTTTCTGGAGTAATGTCATCACCTTGTGGCCAGACAGGATATTGCAGTTAGAGAACCAACTCAGGGAAGGGTGTGTTTGGGTTCAGAGCTATTTTGGTTTGTCTTATCACCCCCTGCACTTGCCTCCACTTACTCATGGGCCAAGGTCTCGGGATCCTTTTTGTCCTGCCTGCCGTGCCACCCCCAAATGCTGTCTCATCATTTTGATGTGCCACTCCTTCCAGGCTTCTAAGCATTACCCATCTACTCACGGCCCAACCTACACTGTTTTACCCAGCCGGGTCAAGAACTTAGCACAGTATGGAATTCCCATCAAGGACATGTGCAGAGATGTCCCCATTAACTTTGCCTGGCAGCATAAAGAAGGTGTGTTAGCAATTTAACTAGAAACCCAAGACTATGGGTGAGTTAAAAGGCACAGTGTGAATTTTAGGTCATTGACAAATTCTAATACCAGATGTTGGGTTTGTTCTATTTATTGTTACTGGATATAAAAATAATGGGGCCTAGGATGTATTCCCCTCTGGTGGAGGAGATGATTTCCTGATAGTGGGACTTGTTGAGATTGGGGACCTGAGTTAACTTAGCTTTATCAGCAGGTCAAGTACTTCTTTCCGGCATATCTCTTGAGAAATTTCTTGAGAATTTTGGCCAAAAAAATCAATCAAACAAATAAAAAATAAATGAAGTCATTATCCATAACATAGACTTAGCTGTTGGGTCTGAGGCTATATCTCAGTCTCCTGAAAATCTCTAGATTCCAGGGAAGCCTGTGCTCTGTGGTGATGCAGCCTGTATCATGAAAATCTCATCAGTGGGACTTGACAGTGGATGGATAGATATCCTTGCTCGACCCAAAGCCTCTGCCAAGCAACACAGTGCCCAACATCCCATCATTATAATCCCATTGCTTTGGAATCCCCAGTTTTCCTCTTCTGCAAGCTGCTCAGGGGTTGGAAGACAAAACTCTAATAGTTACAGACCACTCTGGAGAAGGAAAATCTCAGTGGCTGGCACTCCTACTAGGGATGTGTTGGGGGATCAGTGGTCACCAGCTTGGAAATCTACTAGACAAGACTTAAAGAGCTGCTTGCTAGTCCAGATAGTAACCGCTTCCCATTAGGCTGCTGCCAGTCAATTACATCTTAATATAAGTTAACCCAATGAACAAGGTTTCTTGTTATGACAGGAGGATCCAGCAGGAAAACAGGGAGAACTTAAGAGGCAGGAATTCAGAAGGATGCTTAAGGATCACTTAAAGAAATAGAAAAAGGAGACGTGAGGCCAATGATTGCAGGGGAAGGGGATAGCAGGATCTTCCATTTTAGTCCCAGTCTTTTGCTAGAAGAGCTGCCTGAGCAGGACAATGGTGTTAGTTACAACTCATAATATGGCCGCTCTGTTTGGGGGTCTTAAAGTGCTATTTTTAAAAAATAAAATCCTTCTCTTTCTTTTTAAAGGTACTGCCCTCGCAGTTGATCCTGATTCTTGTTTTGAAGTCCAACTTCTGTCCTTCATGGGACTCTCCATCTGCGGCGAGATACCTGGGCTCTGAACCTCCAGGCTGACTATGTAGCATGTGGACTCACCTGGCCTGAGGCCAGTGCTAGGACCCAGCCCTCCCTCTGCCTCTGGGAAGCTGCTCCTTTTAGTCCTTTACCTTCTGCCTTTTGTCCCAATACCTGGCTCTGTAATCTGAAAAAATGGGTCCACTTTCTCCCTCTGGGTTAGAACAATAAAGTTTATTGCCTCACTAGCCTAGCAAATGAGTCCTCCCTGGCTGCCCTGTCCTCTCTCGGCATTCTCTGCCGCATGCAGCCCAGGACCTCCCACAGCGGCATGGTACAAAGGAACTGGCACCCCTCTCCCAGGACACGCCATCTCTAGGGGCTTCTTTCTAGAGTATCTTTTGAGAAATTTCTTGGGAATTTTAGCAAAAAAAAGAAAAATCAATCACACAAATTAAAAATAAACAAAAACACTATCCATAGCACAGACTTAGCTGTTGAGTCTGAGGCTATATCTCAGTCTCCCAGTAATCTCCAGATTCCAAGGAAGCCTGTTGTCTGTGGTGGCCCAGCCTGTATCATGAAAATCCCTGAGAGAGAGAGCCAGGTGAATCTCCCTTTGGAACTGGTCTAAGCCCTTTAGCGGTAACTTCCAGGCATTTCTCTCCGTTGCAAATGAATAAGGGCTGTGGATTTTCAGCACTTCTTTTATTTTTTTATTTATTTTTATTTTTTGGAGACAGGGTCTTGCTGTGTCACCCAGGCTGGAGTACAGTGGTGCGATCATACTCAATGCAGCCTCGGACTCCTGGGCTCAAGTGATCCTCCTCTCTCAGCCCCCCAAGTAGCTACGACTATAGGTCTGAGCCAGCATGCCAGGCTAATTTAAAAAAAATTTTTTAGTAGAGACCAAGCCTCACTATGTTGCCCAGGCTTTTAAAATCTTTCTTTTTCTTTCTCTCTTGTTGAAATTGGACTTCATTTTTTAACTGTCCATTCCTATACCTGGGAGGGGCCTGGCCACGCCTATCCAAACCACAGAGCATCCCTGGCTCCTCTCACCTCAGGAACAAGAATAAATGGGGAACAAGTGTTGGGGACACATGTGCAGATGTCCACAGAAGGTCATGCTGGAGTCTGGAGGACTATCAAATAGAGCAGAACTGGGTGAGGTGTTGCATAGTGTGTGTGTATGCAGCAGGAGGCTCTGGGGGATGACTGCGCTGCTAGGAGTGAGTTCCGCCGAGGAGGTGGAGCAGTGGTTAGCTGCCTGGAGCCAGGAATGAAAGGCGACTGCATCAGAAAGGCCCAAGATGAACTTCTACCAAGGTGTACACAGGATGTGGTTGGGCAGGCCAGAGGCTCTGAGCCTCTGGAGTTGGAATTTGTCACATACGACTTGTTGAGGGCAAAGCAAGTTGGGATACAGCCATGTTCTATGTAGAACTCTTAGATGCAATATACCAAGGCTCGGTCACCCCAAGGCCCTGAGAGCACCATGAGGCAGGGTCTAGCCCCCAACGCTAAGCCCAGTGAATCCCCAGAGTCAAATCACCATGATTGTCAGTGCATCCTGTAGCCACCTTATCCCTGACACCCAGCCTCCACCTTCAACCTGAGCTCTGGGAAGCAGTCCCTGTTTTGTTGTATGTGCCTAAGACCCTGTTACAGTTGCTAGATCCCCACTCCTGACCCCTCTGCGATGGTGGGGGCCTGCTGCCTACTGACTGCTCTGATGCTAATCTCCATCTTCTGGGCTTCTGAGCTTCAGCTGCTCCTGAATTTCCTGTTACCTCCAGACATCATCAAATTATTACAGCACACCTGTTACTTCCAGGAGACTTCACCCCTACACTGTGCTTATCTCCATCTGTTACTTCCCTGCAGATACTTGCTTTCCAGCTGAGACTGGTTTCCTTCCAGAAATGCCAGGTTCAAGGCCTGCTCACCTCCCGATGTGCATTGGACCAGACCTTAGAGGACTTGTCAAGGTAGATTTGAGTCCTTATAAAGAATCTTCCATGCACAAGAATTTAGGTCCTTTGGGAGTTGGGGTTGTGATGGCAAAAAATAGCATTAAAGGTGTTGCCATCCTGCTGACAGCCATTGTTAACATTTATCCTCAGAATATATCTAATTCAGCACTCAGTGAAATTTGCCATATTCGAATCTCAAATCGGTGTCCCTCACCCAGATATATTCCTTGTTTATTAAGGCCACGAGCCTTCTGTTTATAAGAGGGTTACATGAATACTAATAACAGATTGTATGTTCCACCTGTGGTTAAGGAACTTAAGCTTCTTGCTGAGTGCATTGAAGTAATTTTTGAGTCTCTCTGGGAGTGCCTAAAAGTAGCTAAGAATGAGCCCAGTCATCTTCCAAGCAGGAAAATCATCTCTTTTCTTCCTCCCTTGGGTCAGCCGCTGTCATTGACATAGGCTGACATATTCAGTGCTGTCTCTTAGAGCTGGGAGAAGGTGCCAGGGAATCCACAGCCCCCAGAACCCTCAGCTGAGCCATCTCCACCTGCTGTGCCTCAGTGGAGTGCTCCTGCAGAGAAGCAGGAGGGGCAGGGAGCCAACACTTCCATCTCTGCCACTGATCTGGGGAGCCTCGGGGGGCTTAAGGAGTATGAGCCCTCTGGACCCAATGCAGAAAGGAGAGGAGATCTAAAACAGAGGTCAAATTTCCTGGCCTCCTTGTTTTGAGAAAGGCACTCCATTGATAGACTTCCCTTTAGTGGGGAACGTCTTAAATCCTTCACTAGTCCTTTCCACCCCAGATGGTGTCACTTCTAATTCTCCCTGCCCCTCCTGCTTCTCTGCAGCCCAGGAAAGAGCCAGCTGTGCTCAAGCTCAGGATCATGGGTATGGGCTCACCAACCCTGGGTGGCAGCTTTCCAGTGTTCAATTTCTGTCTCCCTGCTCACTCTGTGCTCTTGTTTCCTTCCCAAGGGATCAGTAGTGCCCCTTATCCTGCCTGGAATGTGCTGCTTCTCCTTGTCCTGCTGTCTGCTTGGGGCAGAGAGATCCTCCCCATAACTGAACCCATGTGTCAGTAGTTATTTGTGTTGAGCCCCTCCAATGGGTTGAGTTAGTTTGGTTGATGCTTTTCACACAGGCCTTACCCCAGCCGTCCACAGCAGGTAGAGCTGTAGCTATCCATGGGCTCACATCCCCCCCATCCCTGAAGGAAGACCACAGCTCCGGGTCTTCTGGCCTGGCTCCAGGCACTAGGCAGCTGGAACCTGAGCCTTTCAGTGCTGATGGGCTTGAGCCATGGCCAACTTGTGTGTATCTTGAGACTGCTGAAGACTGGGTGGGCCTCCTTTTTATTTTGTGTTTTACATTTTTAAAATATATTAACCTTTTTATTGAACTATGCAATAAAGTGCAAATGTTAAGTGCACAGCTCAATGAATGTTTACATATATACATCCAATGTCGCCATCAACCAGAGGAATATGTAGAACATTTCCAATGCCCCAGAAGGTTTTTTCATGCCACTCCCAGGCAATTCCCATCCCTCACCCTTAACTCCAAGGGAGTGGAAATTGAATTATCCTTTAATTTATCCTCAGCATAATGGAATATGCTGAGGAGCTCTCAGCAAAAACCAAACACACTCTGGCAGGTCTCTTGAGGTAGGGATCAACTTCAGACTACGGGGTTGGCAAGTTGCCCCAGGATTCTCTGTATTGTGATTAGTTTGGGTCAAACAGGAGAAAAGAGAAGCTACCAAAGGTCATGAACAAGAAGACAGGATGATTGTCCATTGACCAGGCACTGTGTACTTAGGCTATGCCTTTACCGGTGTAGCAACAGTAACTTCTCAGAGGAAGATTGAGGGGTAAGCTGCATCATTAGAGGCAGTGAGGAGAGAACTCTTGGGGTGTCCCTTCTTGGGGTCATATGCTACTGCATGAGCTGGAAGGGCCATGCTGCAGCCAGGGAATCTTACCTAGTGGTTAAAAGCATGCTGAAGAAATAGGCTTATCAACCTAAAATGGGGTACACCTAAACCCTAAACCCCAAGAAGCCCTTGATTCTATTCCTGAGTGTGTGCTGAGTCCTTTGCATCAGAGTTGCTGCAACATCAGACATTTCCTCAAGAGCCAAGGGAGAATTAGGGATGGTGTCTGGACTGATAAGAAGGAACGGTAGGCCAAACAGAGCTGGGCAGTGAGCTTCAAGTGACATTGGCTTGAAGTCATCCCAGGAGTAGCCTTCGGTATTGGGTTTCTGCAGCATGAGTGCAGGAATGTGGTGAGCCTGGAACTTTCAAAGGGGCTTTAGGAGTAAAGGAAGTAGAGTCACCAGTGCTGAGGTGGGTCCAGGTCTGGAGGCATGTGTGCTCAACGGTGTTATCCAGCCTCTTTCAGGAGTATCTCTAAGGAATGTTCTCAGCGATGAAAAAAGAGAACTAAGTCCCAGTGGCCTAAATAGGCAAAGATTGATCCCGATCGTGTGAGTACAGAGGAAGGCAGTCCAAGCTGGTACAGCTCTGGAATAATGCAGTCAGCCGTTCTAGCTCTTTCTTTCTTTCCTCAATCTTCCTTCTCTAGTATTGTTGCCTCATGGTCCTAAAAAGGCCAATCGTCTCTGGACCCCAGCCTCATATCCTCATTGAGGGAGGATGATAGGAACACCCAAAGGGCAGAGTCACATGCCAGCTGAGTTTCTTCTTCCTTATCAGGAAAGAGAAATCTTTCCTGAAAGTCCCACTTAGCAAATTTCTATTTACAACCCATTGGCAGGAACCGAGATCATATGGCCACCCACTGGCCAATCACAGGCCAAGGAAATAATATTGCTTTATTTTCTTAAAAGAAATCAAGACTGATTTAGCCCAGGCTTTCTCAGCCTTGGCACTGTAAACATTTGAAGCCAGAACATTCTCTGCTGTGGGGCAGTGCCCTGGGTATTGTAGGATGTTTGGCAACGTCTCTGGAGTCTACCCGTTAGATCCCAGTAGGGTACCCTCCAGCGGTAACAACCAAAAATGTCTCCAACCACTAGATGTCTCCAGGGGAGGGGAGAAAAGTCAC